ATTTTTAAAAGAGTTATTAAAAAAAGATTTATTTTATTTATTTATGAATATAAGAATTGGGATATAGGCCAGAAGTTTGTGTGTGTGTGTGTGGGGGGGGTTGCTGAGAGTGGTCACCACCAGAGACAGATTAGAGAGTAGAACAGGCAGATCTACTGAGATACACTGCTGAGGGGAGCACTGGTTCGAGACAGGAGAGGTCTGCTGCACCATTGGGTCAGCTCCCTGGCTGGGGATTGGAACTCATGCTGCAGTTGATAGCTTGATAATGCTGAGACTTTAACACCTGGGCCACCAGGGAGGCTCCTCTATCAGATTTTTTTTTGCAGGGCTAGATCCTTGTAGTCATTTAGGTCTCATTTCACATGTTACTTCCTCTTCAGAAAACCTTTTTCTGACTACTAAATATGAAATAGTCCCTCCCCACCCTACACAGATACTTAGAGTGAATGTAGCTTTTGCAGTATTTTCATGGAACTTACCTGGATGATCTTGTTTACTTTTCTTTATCACTATCTCACCTGCTAGAAAGTAAACTCTGTGATAGTAGAAACCTTTTGATTTTTTTTTTTTTTTTTGATGTAGAAGACCTGGGGTATAGGCCAGAGGTAAGGGGCAGGATGGTGGGGAGTGAGAGGATTCACCAGAGCCAGTGTGGGGAACAGAACAGGCAGATGTACTGAAATACACGGCTAAGGGGAGTGGTGGGCACGTAACTAGAGAGGTCTGGTGGGCCATCTGTGTTAGCTCCCTGGCTGGGGATCAAACTGAGGCTGTAGAGGTGATAGTGCTGAGAATTAACTCCTAAGCCACCAGGGAGGCCCTGAAACCTTTTTGATTTTTGTCTGTCACTATCTCCAGCCTCTAGAACAGTGCCCAGATCATGGCAGATATTCAACAGATATTTAATGTTTATGAATGAATTTGGAGAAAGAGGGAAGAACGGAGTGGGGAAGGGAGGAGAGAGAAAGTGAGAGAAAGACTATATCACTGGAACTTTGATGGAATGGTATGAATGGTGTTTGTGGGATAGGGATGAATAGACCATGTCACTTTCTCTTCCATTCTTTAAGCCACTCTGAGAGGCTGGACTTCATTAATTTTCTGGTCATTTTAGATGGCAACTGGTACTTGTCATTTTTAAGTTCCACTTTGATTATTAAGATGTTTAGCCAAATGAAGTAATTTTTAAACTTCAACTTCAAACTTTAAAACTTCACCATATTGCAGATGAATAGCTATGTTCAGTGGGAAAAGGGGTGGGGCTTAGATATGTGTCCCTTTTCTTACCTTTTCTCCCTTCTCCAATTCGCTAACCTCTTTCTGCAGGGCTTGACAGAGAGAAGAGAAACGAGATGAGGAAGATTCTTATTTGAATAATACTGTCAAAAACTACCAGGTACCTAAAACTGACTGAAGGATCCCTTCTGTAGTTTTCTCAAAGATTCCCTCTCTGTTGGTGGAGACATCTCTCCTACACCTTAGATATTTTAATGTGGATGAATTTAGCTCCTCTAGCTGGTCATTTGTAATTCCTTTAGAAATCACCAGGCATAAAAAACAAAACAAAAACAAAAACACCAGTTTTACTGAAGTATAATTTACATGAAATACACAGATTTTTAACTATACAGCCTAAGTTTTGATGAATGTTTCCACCCACATAATCACCTCCAAAATCAAGATAGCAAATTTACTCTACATCCTTTTAGGGATAATCAACCCCACTCTTAGGCAACCTTCTATCTAATTAGAAATTTTTTGGCATTTGACATCTTATCTCCTGCTTCCTCCTACTATAATCTCTTCAGCCTTTTCAGTGGTCTCTCTGGCAAGGTAAAGAAATCCTAGCTATGTCTCTTGCATGGCCAAATCTAGTCTCTGGGCACACCCATTCGTCCCTTGTTCTGAGAGAAATGGGAACAATCGCCAATTTCACCACAGCCACCTCTTCTTGCTCTGCCATAAAAAGTTTATCTTTTCTGACTTTCCAGGAATTAGTCCTCTGTGTCCCCCAAACACATTTATCATGGCACTCAATCCCCAAATAATTTCCTACTCTTTAACTAACTGGGGGCGAGATTCTAAGTCCATTAGCAATTCTCATCCCTTTCTAATGTCTGAATATTTGGCCCCTTTATCAAGGTGGGTGAGGTGATTAAGAGTTGCACACTGGTATTTCACAGCCCCGTTTGTGTAAAGTCATCTCATGCTTTGGAATGTGGAACCTATTGTTTTGAATCCTCAGCAGAGATTGAGACTCAAACCTCCCCAGGATGCACACAAACTACAGGAGAGGGTGCCAATGTTCAGGAGCTTTGGGTGACATTAATGGTCCAAGATGCTTTTTATAATCCTTTAGAAAAGAGATGATGAATGACCATGTTTCATGAAAGATGCCCCAAATCAGAAGACAGAACCAGATGCTGACAGTTATTTTGAAAGGACAGGGTAAGATGCAATTCAGGGCAGATAAAAGGCGGGACTCACTTGTTTACCCATTCATTGAAAAACATTAATAATCTAAGTGTTAGCACTCTGTTGGGTGATAAGAATACAAAAAAGAAACAAAGTTTTTGTCTTCAAGATCTCAACAATCTGTAACAGAGAGACAGAAGTAAACCACAGAGAATGTAGGCATATGAGTGAAAATACACCCAAATCTTGGGGGATGATAAGAGCCATGTCAGTGTGGATTCATATAGGGAGGAGGCACTGAACTCAAGAATAGAGGGTTGAGTGACAGTGAAAACTCCCAGAGGAAGGGGCCAAAGCTGAGAGTGAAGAGCAGAGAGACATTAGCTAGACACAGAAAGGATTTGTATTCTAAGAGGATAAGATGGGAAGAATCAAGGCATTGAGGCTTCTGAAGATAATGGGACCTTGAGGAATTATAAATAGTAATTGTAAATAGAATCAGAATTAGTAATCATAAGTAGTAAATAGAACTGCAAATAGAAGCGAGGGTGTCTGCAGTAGAAAGTGGTGTTGAAGATGGAGCAGTAGACACCACCCGGATAGGGAAGCTATGACGTGTCATCAAAGGATTTTAGGCTGACATTGTTGGATTTGTGCTGTTGAAAGACCATTCTCTGTGGTGTGGATAATGGATTAGAAAGAAGCTGATTCACAGGCGGAGACCAAAGAGAAGGATGTTATTGTAATCTAAGCAAGAAACAATGAAAAACAAAATGGGACTGGGGACAGGGAGGGAGGGAAAGATTTGAAGACATTTCTAAGACAAAGTTCATGCAATTTGGTAACTGAATAAATTGGATTAAGGAACCAGGTAGGTCTCTGGTTCGAGTGGTGGTACTGTTTAGAGAAACCAGAGAAATCAGCAGAGGAGCAGACTTTAATATTCTTTCATTTGTTCACTTATGCAACAGACACTACTAAAGGCCCATTAACTGCAATGAATGGACAAGTAAATCCATGACTACTGTACCCTTTGACAAGTGTTGCTGACAAGAGTCATGCATAAGGGACCAAGGCACAAAGAGGACAAGGGCAGGCATCCTACGGAGGAAATAAGGCAAGCTGTTGTGGAAAGTGGAAAATGGTGGCGACAAGGTGTAACTGAGGTAAATTTCACATAGCATAAAATTAAAAATAATTCACTGCCATTTGGTCTAATCACAATGTTGTTAAATCTTCACCCTGATCTGGTTCCAACTATTCTGAATTTTGAAGGATGACTAAGCGCTTGCTAGATAAAGAAGGGAGTAAGGGAAAGCATTTTAGGATGTAACAATAGCATGTTTGATGACATGAAGACTAGAAGTAGCATGAATCGAGTAAATGCACTGGGAATCTGCATAGGGAGTAAGTGCCCACAGGAGTAGGAGAAGACTAGAAAGGGCCTAATAATAAAATGCCCAGATTTTAGCTTGGTCCACAAGTCATGGGAAGTCCTTAGAGGATGCTAACCTGGAGCCTGACACCATTGAGTTTGACTTTGAGGAAGATTACTCTAGAAATAATAACGGTGATGTGTTATATAAGGAAAGACCAAGCAGGTGAGTTGGAAGATTTTATGTAGTAATCAAGGTAAGAGAGGATTTATGTCTGAACAAAGACAGTGGTAGCAATAATGGAGAGAATAGAAAAAAAGGGCATAATAAAGATGTAGAATTTATGTTTCTTAATGACTCACTGGACGTCAGTCTGGAGGAACAGTATAGGATGATTCCCATCCTTCTGCCTGGGAGACTAGTATGATGGTGATGGTATCCTGGGTGACATTTTGTTGGAAAATGCTTAATGTAGGTTGGTGGGTTCAGCGTGAACCCCCAAAACTCAACTTAAGTGAAGGGTCTCAGGGTCAGCTTAATATCTGGATCTGTAGCTAAGAAAAGAGATCTGGCAACAAGAGGGTTTACAGAATCTTTTTTTCTGTTAGTAAATGAACTTATGCGTTTGGATAAAGTTTAGGAAAATGTACAAAGGAAGATGAAGAGGGAACCTAGGGCTGAACTCTGGAAACTAATTTTTAAAGTGTGCAAAGAGGATGGAGGATAGAACTATATGGGTAAAGATGTGGTCATACTTAGCCTAAGATAGAGTTTGGCGGCAGGAGGTATAATGGTCTAATTTGAAAAGGGAGGGTGGGAGGGCCCATGGGATAATTTTGCTTGAATTAAGTTACTGTCACTGGGGCCCCAACAAACAACACAAATATCTCCACTCCAAAATAAGTCATTTATTAATTGCATAAACTTCAGAGACAATTTCCCCATGTACATACCACTTCATCTCAATGTTATAGCATTAAGACAAATGTTCACCAGTTATGGCTTATGTGCCCTCAAGAAAAGATCTCTACAAAGCCCCTTAGTCTTCTCCTCCCAGTTCAGAGGCCCGAAAAGGTGTCAGTTCTTGCGTAAAAGGGGTCAAGAGAGGACAAGACGGCAAAATCTTGAGTTATTCTATCAAGTCAGAGAACACCTTTACTTTGGAGGTTCAGAAACTCTCCTTCAGGTTCTTGTGGCCATCTTTTCATACCTGCCTCCTCCTTTTACTAGCCCTGGGGCCAGCAAAAGACTCACCTTGATTATCCCAGATAAACCTGACAGGGGTATCAGGTGGGAATATATTTGTTTGGGGCCCTGGCAAGATTTATAAGGATAAGATTCTTGGGTCCTATTGTCTTTTCCCTCCCCCATGTCTCTCTGGTCTTCCTTACCCACTACTCCCACACTTGCTTGTCTTAGAAAGGTTTGTGAAAGGGAGGCCTGATCTTGCTTTCTTGAAATGCCCCCAATCGGCGTCTGGGGCTCTTTCCCAGCCTTACCGCTTGCTGGAGCACAGCCCTGGAGAGAATGAAATCTGCATCCAGGGAGTGAGGGTGGAGGAGCATGTAGCCGCTGTGGCCCCGGACCTTGTCCTGTAGCCCCTCCTTACTAAATTGGCTGAATATGAGGGTGCTAAAACAATGACTAACTCCTTTGGAATTTCCCTAAAAGCTTCTACCGGTAACGGTAACGTTTTTCTTGGGCCTGGACCTCACTGTCTTGCCGGAAGTGATGAGGGCCCCAAAGCCATGTTTGTGGGAGAATGCATAGGCAGAACGTCGAGCACTCGCTTTCACTTTGGACCAGATTGGGGGCCGTGGCGGTTTCACACATTGCTGAATTCTATCAATAACCTATAGCCAGAGTAGGAGGGAAAGGGTTTTTATCCACAGAGGCAAAGGCATAAAGGAACAATACTTATATCTGGGTCGACCCCCCCTTCAACTTACCTTTCCCATGCTGAAAGGCCAGAGCAGTAATCTGAGAAGGTGCCACCAGATCACAGGCAGGATACAGAGGACCACACTGAGGACAAGGCTCAGCCACATTTGTGGTGTGGTCAGAGAGTTCCTGGTCACACCTGGAAACCATGAGCCCCAAGGGAAAGGGTTGAACTAGTGCCAGAAGAAGGTGGTGCTCAGGGGAAGGGATGTCAGGCAGAACTTAGGTCTCTTTCTCTCAACCAAGGGAGAAAGTTGTTGATTTGGAGGCAATTTAGTCTCTTGAGAAATGATCTAAATGTGAAAGAACTCAGGGAGGGTGCTTTGTGCAGCAGGGCAGGAGAGGTGAGCCAGGAAACAGGAATCCCAGAACAATGGCTGGAGGGTCAAATGGGCTGGAGGGAAAGCAAGAGAAAGCCGAGGCATGATAGGTGGTGGGAGCCAGCTTACTTCCACATGTCTCTTCTCTCTGTGTTTTGCCCTCACCAGAGTGGAGATAAGAGAGGGAAGTTAACACAGGAGGCAGTGGAAGGAATGATGGACCAGGACGAGGGAACCTCTTTTGAGTCATTTGATTTTTAAAGACTTTCAGTACCTAGAATAGCATTAATAATTTTTTGTCCTGCCTGCTGCATAGGATGTCTATAAAGATCAAATTAGATAAGAAATTTGAAAATATCTTAGAAATGCTGATAAGGCAAAGCATTTCCACTAGTTAGACCTTGAGTCCTTTCAGGCAGAAATCATGTCTTCCTCCTATCTATATTCACAGAGCCTAGCATGTAGAATTAGTGCTCATAAGACATTTATCAAAGGACTGTACTTGGTTCACACTCCCTGACCCATTGTCACACACTGGACAAAGTCTTACCTAGGAAATTGAAGACGCTGGGCAACATTAGGCACAAGCTTTCACTGTACAGGAAGAACAAGATGCAAAAGTAGAAACCCAGGCTCCCCCAGATAAAGAAGTGGCTTATCACCGTCCAGTAGGTTGTGTCCAAGGCAATCTGAAAAGCACCTTCTTACGTGTAACATTCTATGCCTGAGACTTACCAGCTACCCCCCTTCTCCAATTTCCTAATGAAGGACTCTCGCTCCCCACCTTCCCTTCTCCTCTTCCCCCGCCACTCTTCCAGACTGGCTCAGGACCCCAGTTCCCTTTCGCCTTCCCCCACTGGCCATACCTGCATTGTGACCACTGTGAGCAAGGAGGTCTGCACAACCAGGGAGAAGGACTGGTAATCAGAGACTTCTCTTCCATCACTTCGCACTGAGTCATAAAAGGTCCCCATGGGGATAAAGAATAGCACCAAAGAACTGTAGATCCCATGAGCTAAGCACTTTACAAATTTCTTCTTGTTGAAGTAGAGGTTGTGTTGGCCTGGCTCATAGAGCTCTGGGAAACGTAGGCTCCATGTTTCATTCACATCCTGGAAGCACCAGAGGGTAAGGAAGAAGGCTCAGGGTCTCTCCATGGGAGGTCTCATCTCCATCAGAGTACAGGCTTCTCCCTCACTGAGTCTGCTGCCCAGCTACCTAGGAGCTTCCTCATGGATTACTTGAGAAGCAGAACCAGAGAATAGTCTCCTGAAACTACACAGACCTTTCCTGACAGTCCTATTCTTTAGGCAAGGATAGAGGTAGGGGAGAAAGCTAGGAGAAAGTCAGGATGGTGGGAAGGACCTGGAGCCAGTGCGGAGTGGGAGTTAAGAACAGGGGCGATTATTGGGTAGTTGGGAGAGAGGACTGAACCTTGGAATGGGGGAGACAACCAGGACATGAAGCCCTAGTTTTAAGTGTTCCTTTGGTTGAATATTCTTTGTGTCAAAGGCCAGTGTAAGGAAAGGGGGAATCCAATGGGATCACTTAATTCCTTAGAGATATTCATGTTCTGTGGCATTCTTCCCCTTTCCACAGCTAATGGTGAACTCAAGTGAGAGGATTCTCTATATGTATGACACTGGATCATCTTTACCTCTTAACTCAGAAATGCTAAATGACAAAGTTTAGGACTTTTTTTTTTGAGAGTTTGTACAGCCCTAGAGTTAGACCATTGAAGTTGGATAAGACTATTAAGCTTATCCTTCTTGCTGCGCTGAAGCTGGCAGCTACTTAATGGTGAATCTGCCTTCTGATCTTGATGGAGACAAGGGACCATCACCCCATAATGTCCTCTTTCAGCTACTTTATTCCTCATTGGAAGTTCCTTTTCTGTGACCAGGACTGGAGGTTGGGGTAGAGGAAGAGGGAGAGATCGAACACCAGGACCCTCAGTGCTCAGGGAATTTTTGACAGGAAGTATCCCCTCTGACTCAAGGTATCACACCCATCCTCCCATGCTTGGCCCTCAGGGCTCTTGCCTCGGTCTTCTTGCATTGCCCTATTCATTATTTCTGTGTGGGCCTCTGCTTCTTGAAGCCTCTTGTCTTACTGAGCCTGCCCCCGTAACTTTATTTCCTTTAACTACTTTTTCCATACTCAATTTACTCTTAGCACAATCTCTATGTTTCTCTCTATAAAGATGAAACTGATTCAGGATAACTTAGATTTCTAAAATTAATGATTATTCTCTGGGGAGGGTTCTTTACTTTATCCCATGATACCTTTCCAAGTGATAAGCTCCCTCCCTTGCTCCAGAAATTATTCAATCTACACTTGATCTTGTAAAGCTCAGATCTTGCTGTCTCCTCACTCCTGCAAATACTCATCAAGGGCCCAGAGGCTTCAAGTCCTGACAAACAGGTTTACTGCTGGTCTTACCTGATCAAACAGACTCAAGCCCAGGACAGGGAGGGCAGTGTAGACCAGGTTGTAGAAAGCGATAAACCAGGTATCATAAATTGTCTGGAAGAATACCCAGGAGATATCTTAGACTCCTCTCTTCCCTAAAGTTTCAGTTCTATTTCCTAGGTCCAAGAGATCCCTCTCTGCCCCCACCTACCCACTACTTAAACCTAGAGCAGGACTTATATTTCAGAAATCTTAACTGAAAAGGCTGACTCCACTACCTATTTGCTTGTGCTCTATTTAGAACCCTGGGTCCCAGGCTGGGGCAAAGCCACGTTAAGCTTATTTGTGGCAATCCTACAAGGCTGATTTGAACCAACCCTACTGTGAGCTGCACTACCCCTCCCTGCGCAGAAGGGCCCAGAGCGACTGCTAGGGAAAGCCACCTCTACCCCTGTACTGGCAAGCAAGCCTCTGGCCCTTTATCTGCTTAATGGCTTTTGGACAGTGCTTGCATAGCACTGGACATTTTTCAACTGTGGCAGCTGAACAGACGGAGCTGATTATTCCATCGTGGGCCTAGAAGGGCTTCCTCCCTTTCTAGCCACAAGGGGTCAGCAGCAATACATACATCAGACACAACCTCGCACAAGCCAACCTGGCTTTGCTACAAGGCAGATGCCTACTTCCGAGGCCGTTTCTCTTGGGAATCCTCACAAGACTCCGGAAAAGCTTCTCAGAGGAAAAGAGGCTCTTCTTAGAACATACAACTCTAGGTGTCACCTCTCCCAACTAACACGGGAGGGATTTCATATTCAAATAATGGAATTAATTCAGTAGAGGACAGTTACAGGTTTTGAGATAGGTGAGTTGTAGGGTCAGGAGGGATAAAGAAACTATGTTTCCAAGTCTGACTACAGGTGAACTCCATAACCAGGCTGCCTGTTGAGGTCCAGAGGCCCTTGAGTATAGTCTGTTTCTTAAAGAATTCTTCCAAACAGCTGCCCCCAACTCCCATGTTTGGATACCATAGCTCTAAGGGGAAATTGTCTTAGGGAAGAGCTTGCAGGTAGGAGTGAGTGCTATGTCGGAACCAGGCTAGGAAAACCACTGTTTGGAAGTCTAGAGTTACTTACAGGGCTGGGAGATGGGAGCAGAATGGGCCAGAAGCTTTATGGGTGGGTGGGCAATATGCCATACACTGATGGGTCTCTACAGGAGAAAAAGGGTCTCCTCAGACCCTGCTTGACTACAGTGTCACCTGACCTCCTACCTGTGCAGAGAACCCGCTGTAGAAGCCATACCAGACATGTGTCAGGGTGAAGGTAAAGTTTTTGTAAAAGAAGTAGCTGAGAAATTTGCACATGCGGATATAGGACCAGCGGCCGTGCACCAAGAGTAGACGCTGAAGATAGTGGAACTGAGAGAAGGCGTAGTCGCTGCTGAGCATGGCCTGCATTCCTTCCTGGCCAAAGATGCCAACGCCAATGTGGGCAGCTGCAAAGAAACCCCAGAAGCTTTTCAGCCACAGAGCTTGTGTGCTCAGCTCCTAGCTTAAGTATAAAAGGGAAACTGAGGACATGTTGTACAAAACCCTTATTTTGTATTTGGGAAACACTAGTGGGCCCAGCTCAAAAAGGTACCTACTTAATGGAGCCTCTTCTCCTTAGTGGATTACCTCTACCCTGTTCATCTGCATGGGCTCTATTAGGCTAGTTGTAGGCAGCTCTACTACTGCCTGTTAGCAGGCCTATTTCCCAGGCGCCCTAGGCGACAAAGGTAGTAGGAGTCTCGAAGATAACTGTTCCTGAGTTGTCACTGAGAATGTCTGGCATGCTAGGACTAGAAAGTTGTCCCAGGGGGCCTCTGCATTTACTGCAGCCATCGGGGTGCTTCCCTACTGTCCAGATGATGTGCTTGCTATCATCTTCAAGCCATTTAAGTCAAAGATGCAGGGTAGATGTTAATCTAGCAAAATATTTAACTACCTAAGTTTACCTAAGAAATCAGAGTCCAACAGTTGGTAGAAATAACTGATGTATATACTTCACTAATGAGAAATAAATCTTCAGGAGGCCTACGATGACTTTTTCTGAATAAAGCAAGGATTATATCTGACAGAATATAAGACTAAAGTTCCTAAATATTTGAATTAGTCTTTTGTAGTGTAGGCCAAATTCACTGATCTTCTGATATATGCTTAGTGAAATAAATGAAACCTCTTAGAAATCAAAGAAGGCCTAGAAACTGGGAGAGAGAGAAAGTGTTTCTTAGTATTGAAGCCAAGGCTGGAATATCTGCTAGTGTCTCCTGTATGGGAAGAGAGAATGGACTAGAGATCATCTAGATGTCTGTACCTCAGAGTAGCAGTTTCTGGGGGATAACAGCATTCAGCTGAAATTAAAACCAGTGAGTTCTAGCCATTTGCTTTTCTCAGTCAGTTAGTTAAATCAGTTAGTGTCTTCCAGTCAGGGTTGTGAGGTCAGCTCCTGGGGATATGGCACAGGCCTCTCTGCATTAGGCCTGACAGCTGCTTCCCTGTTGGACAGCCTGTCTCCTAGCTAACACTGCTCAGGCCCAAGGCCTTCAGAAAAGGCACAGATTGTGACTTCTGTCCATGGATCCTCTCTGTGGGCTTTGACGACATCTCAGAAAGATGGTGTGGTACTCACACAGCCTGTTCTGTGAAAATATGCATGTGCTCTTGTGGGAGTCAGGTGTGTCTCAGTGTGTGTGAGTGTTTAGTGCATGAATCTGAACTTGTGTGCTTGTCTATGGATAAGGGCTGCTATGGGCTAATGCATGCATGTGTGAATAGGAAGAGAGGAGCAGGAATGGAGTTGCAAAGACAGTATACATGCACAATACATGTGATATGCAGGAGCGCAAGCCAGCAACCCAGCGCCACGTGGAGGAAGGACAGGGCAAGCCCATGGCTGGGGCTTCTGCCCCCCCTCACATGCCTTTGATCATGCCGACGTCATTGGCCCCATCCCCGATGGCCAGTGTCACCACATTCTTGTACCTCTTCACCATCTCTACCACCTGGGCCTTCTGAAGAGGTGTCATCCGGCAGCAGATCACCCCCTTGCACATGCATGCCGTTCGAAGCAGCTCCAACTCCAGGTTCCCTTCTAGAGCATAGGCCTGTAGCACCAGGACACAAGCATGCTTCAGGTTGCCCAGGAAGGCACTCAAGACCACCTTCCCGGGCCCTTCTCCACCTCTCCATATTCTCCTGCACTGCGCAGGTCAGGCATCACTCTTCCCAAGGTGTGCCACCCCAAGGGGGGCCAGTCGGTTCTAGGCACTCTCACATTTGACCATGTCTCAGTGGGGAACTGGTCAGAGTTTCTCACTGGGTCAAAACAGTTGGCTGGGCTACAAGTCCAAGGGACATTTTGGGAACCCTGGTTATGCTTGCTTCTACCATCTCCATAAGCGCAAGACCACAACAACAGTAAAGAATTTGGATAAGGGAGGAACGTGCCCTGGGCTTCTCTTTCCTCAATTGTTCCTGAGTGGAGAAGACTGGGGAAAGGTGTCTGTCACCAGAAGGGTGGGGGAGTAGGCTGACTCATGGAATAGGTAGGGAAGGGGTCTTGACATTTCCCTGGAGAAGGATGGGCTTAGGAAAAGTGTTCTTTGGATGAAGAGAACAGTTACAACTCTGTGTTGCCCACCAGACTGTAGCCATTGATGATCAAGCCGTAGCTGCCACTGGGTACCTCCTCGGGTATTGTGAAGTGTGTTCTGGGATTTGTGGCGAGGAAACTGTTTACTGGGTCTGATTTCAGTAGAGAGTTGGGGTTCATCTTGTACCTTGCTGATCTGAAAGCCAAAAGTCAGGGTTAGCCTGAACTGAAAGCCAGAGGTTAGGAAAGGAAATGCATCCCAGAGGGAAGTAGGCAAGGTGGGCATAGGGCCTCTGCAAAGTCCAGCTAGGACCTCACACTCAGCTGCCTTCAGGACTGCCACTGCCTCAAGCCTCTGATCATCCACACACCACTTCTCTCCCCCACACTCCAACTCCTTGAACCTAACACTTCTTCATGAAAGTCTCCCAACTATTTTAGGTTTTTTGTTTTCTCTCCATCATTTCTTCTCTGTTCTTTCTGGTAGTGTGGAATCCATATTGGATGAAGAGATGGGTGAGAAATCTTGGGTCCAGGAACTGGCTGTGGCATCTCTCCCATCTATACCTGAGTTCTTGCCAAATAGTTTCATTATCATTGCCTTCCACGATGAAGAGCCCATCCATTTCATCCTTAAATACGTTACAGGCATAGGCAATGTTCACAGCAGTCTCTGCAGGAAAGGGGGCACACAGATTGCATTTGGGCTGGTACAAGGTATTCACAGGTACACAGGCATTAACAGTAGGCTTTGGCGCTCATTTGTCCACATTTGTCATGAATGCAGTCAAAGTACATTTTCATGACTAGTGGACACGATAGTCAAATGTCCACAGGAGACTTCTACTGGGCACAGACTTGCAAGTTACTATAAAATACCAGTATCAAGGTCTCCCTAATGGTTCAGGGGTTAAGTCTCAGCACTATGATGGCTATCTGCAGCCACTGCAGCACGAGTTTCAATCCCATGGGGGGGGGGTGTGTGTGTGACCCACACAGCACAGCAGACCTCGCCTGTCTCACTTGCTACTCCCCTCAGCAGTGTATTTCAGTAGATCTGCCTGTTCTGCTCCCCACTCTGTCTCTGGTGAATCCTCTCACCCCCTGCACCTCTGATCTGTACCCTGTTCTTATATGCATAAATAAATTTTTAAAACTCTTCAAAAAATTAAAAAAAAAAAACAAATGTTAGAGAGTATGTAGAGAAAAAAGAATGCCCTAACACTGCTGGTGGGAATGCAAACTGGTCCAACCACTATAGAAGGCTGTGTGGAGGTCCCTCAGATTATTAAATAAGGAGCTTCCATATGATCCAGCAATTTTACTCCTCGAAATCTACCCAAAGGACACAAGAACATTAATTAAAAAGGATACCTACACCCCTATGTTTATTGCAGCACTATTTACAATAGGTAAGATATGGAAACAACCCAAATGCCCAAAAAAGATGACTGGATCAAGATGTGGTACATATACACAATGGAATAATACCATTCAGCAATTAAAAAAGATAAACTCTTGCCATTCACAGCAACATGAATGGAGCTGGATGGGGTTATGCTCAGTGAAATAAGCCAGAAAGAAAAAGAAAAATATTGGATGGTTTCAGTTATAGGAGTAATGTTGGGGAACCAAATAAGGGATCAGGGAAAAAATAATTTAATAAATTAAAAGACAAAATTAATCAGAGACACTCTGTAGAGGAGGGGAGGGAAGAACACAAGGGACTATGGTGATGGTGCACAGGTGAATCGGTGGTGGGAATTTTATGGGAACTACACCTGTGAGGAGAAAGCATACGCTGTACAAAAGGAAAGAATGATGTATGTGTGTGTATGAATGTTTGTCCACATAAAGTAAAATAAATTAAAAAAAGAAAAAATTGAAAAACAATTCAGAGGAGAGATAGCAACTGGTATAGAAAATACCTTAGAGGAAGGCTTTGATGAATGAGACTTGATGAGTAAGACTTGTTTAGGGCAAGGGCAAAATATTTAAAATGGGAAGCAACCAAATAGTGGCCCTAAAGTGGGAATGGCTTTGTCTGGGACATACTGGCCATGTACAGTCAGATAATGGCCATATTAGCGTGGAGATCAGGATGTGTAGATAGCATCAGATAACTAGGTCCTAATGATCAGAGAGAGGAGTTCGACTTGACCACAGAGTCGCTACAGGGACCCGAGCAGAGGAGAGTGTCACAAAAGTATTATATTTTAGGAAGCGGAAATTGATGTATGTAGGCTATGCTGAAGTAAGTAAGACCATGAGACAGAGGGATCAGCTCAGACCTTGTTGCAGAAATGAAGGCAAAAGGTTGAACCAGGGTAGTAGCATAGTCAAGAGGATTTTCAGAACTGATGAGCCTTGGAGAGAGAATGAATCTTTGGAACAACAGAGAGGGTAGAGTCAAATTCAGCTCTAGAGTTTTTAGTTTGTGAGTTCCTGGATAAAACAGGTCATATCTGAGTGATTCATTTCTGTGTCCTGAATGACTACCATTGTGTGGTTGGCAAATTGTATTCAATAATGGGAGTGAATGTGTCCTGTAAGGACTTGAGCTGATTTATATTATAAAGCATTTGTCAAATAAGTGAGAACAAAGAAAAAGAAAAATGGCTAAGGTAGGCAGGGAGAGGGTTAATCAGGTGAGGAACTCCACTTTACCTTGCTTATCTCCGGTTAAAATCCATGTTTTAATTTTGGCTTTGCTCAGAGTTGTAATTGTCTGAGGTACTTGATCCTGCAGCTTGTCTTCTATGGCCGTGGCCCCTAACAGCTTCAAACAGAAATATGAGTGAGGAAAAGGGAGAGGGTCACAGCATTTCGTGCCACCTAACAACTTACCTTTCACCTCAGCATCCTCTTTAGGAAGCTGGCTCTGTCCTGGCATGAGGACCCCTCACAGTATAAAACAGAGTATGCTCTGCCTCTCAATACAAACAGCTTTTCCATCACACACTGAAGTCAAATTTGGAGACAGAATGTTAGCGACTAGAGCAGGAAAAGTCCTGCCCCAGTCATATATCAAGCCGTGTGCCACTTCTACACTTGATCTTAGTCAAAAGGCCGAGAAGTGATCATATACTACTTCTAGATCATATTTCCCAATACATTTGCACTTTTTCCTTGCTTCATAGCACACTTCCTGGTTTTAGTCTCCAAAAATGGTGGGTCCCAGAAAAGGACTCTCCCTCCACTCCCCACTCTAGGTTTACTTCCAATGCTGCAAGACTTGGGTCAACTTAAATTGTATGCACTGAAGTTTCCAAGGCCTCTTCCCACACCAGATTAAAAGCATCCTGGGCCTAACACCATACTTTCTCGATGATGCCTAATAGTACCAGCCACAGTGACGGACACCTGAAATGAGTCTGAGGAGCTGGCAGGTGGATGAACTATGGCCTGAACTATGAACTATGGCGTCTGCAAGGGCAGCCTGCAAATACTAACCACAGAACTGACTATACAACAGATGTGAGACCGTTGGGGTCTCTAAATCTTATTTGTCATCAGTAATTCCTCCTGTTCTAGCCATATCAGTCTATATCAATCTGATAAAAAAAAAACCTTGGAGTCATCCTTCACTTCTCTTTTTATCATATCCTATGAGCTAATCCAGCAGCAACTTCTGTTGGCTCTACTATTTATGTGTGTATTTATGTTTCTTTTCTTTATTTTTGGCTCTACTTTTAAAGATCACCAGAATATGAAGTTTCCTCATTACTTCCATGCTTCTGTCTGGCCTAAGCCACCATTATCTCTCACCTGTACTACAACAACTACTACAACCTTCTATACTGGTCACCTTAGGTCTACACTTGTTCCCCTTCAGTAAGTCTCAACACAGCAGCCAAATGATAATTTTAAAAGCTATCCCTTCATTTATTTCTCTGGTTGAACTCTTTAGTGGTTTTCCAAATCTCACTACAAGTCCTTATAGTGGCCTTTTATTCTCTCCTCCTTGTTGATATTGTGCCAGACAGTTAGCTGCCTTGCTGCTGAAGTAAAATTAGGTCTGCTTTTGTTTGGGGACCATTCCTTCTGTTTGGAAAGCCAATATTCTGTTTGGAAAGATCTGTATGCTTTGCCATTTTTCTTCAGATGTCTTCTTCACAAGTAAACTCCTTTCTCTCTCACCCTGATATTTCTTAGCTTTCTTTCTGAGTTCGATTTTCTTCCATAGTACTTTCCTAGTAGTATGGGGTACCTAGCATACTAGCTATGGCGTGTCTCACATACTATCTAGCATACTCTATATTGTCTGTTCTGTCTACTTTTAAGTGCTTAGGGTTTACAATAGTGCCAGGCACATAAGAAGCACTTACTAAGTGAATAAATGAATAACTTTGAATTAATAAGAGAATAACTTACCCAGATCCTGATTTCTCCTACACTACTTAGTTTCTGCAAAGCACGTTTGGGACAACAACCATTGTCAAAAAGATAAAATTTATAACCAGTGCATCTTTCGTTATTGAAGGAGCTCAAAGATCCAGGCTATACTGAACTAGCTTGGATTCCATATCAAGTATCTAGTATCTAGAGAAAGTCTAAATCTATTGAAGCCCTGCTCAGTTTGCTAATCACCACCTCCCATTATGGCTTCCTCACACTAACCATCATTTCTCGTTCAACCTCTTCATAGACATTTGATATTTTACTTTCCCGGTTGTCCAAAGACAGGCAGGCCTCACTGTATTTCTTATTCCAGTTCTGGAAGAATGCATCGTCGAGCTCTCGGTAGGCTACCATAAGGGTGCGAAGACCTTCTCTGGCAAAATCCTGGAAGACAGATATATGCACTTAGTGCTCCTGGGCTGGGTTTAGGCTGAGCTAAGAGTGGCAGGCTGACCTCACTGTCTGCAAAATAAGGTATAATTTTAGACTAGTACCAAGCAACTGTTGAGCTTTCTCATCAAAACGGTGCTGTGACCAGAACAGATGGAGCGTGCTTTTAGAGATGAAAAGTTCCAGCTAAAGTTGGGTAGTTTGTAATGTGACCATGACAAAAATTCAGCCTAGATTTCTTTCTTGTAAAATTGAGATAATTTACTCCTATAGAGAGTATAATGAAATCCGAATATGAAAATGAAGGGGGTAATAAAGTAAAAAAGAGCAATAAAAAAAAGTTGTTGGCCCTCCCTGGTGGCGCAGCAGGTTAAAGCACAGCACAAAGAAGCTTAAGCCACTTCCGCATGAGTTCGATTCCCACCTACCCCGGAGGTGACCACATGGCCGGCAGACCTCTCCTGACCCGCCCACTGCTCCCCTCA